TTTACATCGAGTAATCATTAATCAGCATAACATCGAAAGCAAACAAATATAGAAAAAAAATTAATCCTAAAAAAAAGGCACTTTGGAAAAATAATCCATTAGTATCGAAATTTGTTTGAATTAATACATTGATCATATAACATACATAAAAGTTAAGTCAATTCATTTAAAACGATCGTTTTGAACAATTACTTTCAATAATATTAATCTATAACAATCAATGTATACGAGAGATTACTGTTTTTGTTTTTCTAAATAGTCACCATTTATTGTGAAGAAAATTTCGATTATTAATTTTTTTTCTATTTATCGTTTGAACTAAAGTTTTAAGAATGTTTTATTAGATGTGAGAGGTGTTTACGGTCAAAAAATTTCGATAGAAATCTTCGAAATAAGATTTAACCATAAGAGAAGGAAAATTTTCAACATAAAATATGTCATAGGAAGAGAAAAACTCTTTTTGCGAATATCGACAGTCTTAACGGGAATATTTTATTATTAATATATAGTATCTTTTTATTTGGTTTTGTTTTAAAATAAGAGAATTAAATAAGCTAGTTTACATGTGACATTCTAAAGACATGATAAGACAAAAGTTATATCGTACGATAAGAGCAGAAAAAAAAGGCTTAACTATTGATTAAAAACCTATTTTTATGCAAATTTTTAATTCAAAGTGTAAAAATGATTTTTTTTTCTTCTAACATTAATTTCATTTAAAAATATTCTTTCAATTTAATTTTTATTAAAACTTTATGAATTAACAATTGTTTTATAATCATCTAATTAAACCAAATTTTAAAATATTTTTTTAATAAATTCTATTAAATAATATTTCAACTAATATTCATATAGTAAATATTTGACCAGTGATGATTTATTTACTATATCCGCATTATACATCAATATTTTTGTTTTTTCAATAAAAAACTTTATCTTAAAAAATACGTTTATACAAATGAAATTAATTCTCAATCTGCTTCATTCGAGTTACTTCTAAAATAACTTTCTATTCGTATTTATATTGTTTAACTGATGATGATCAACTCGATTCTATTTTAAATTTTTCATGCATTTTCAAATACTATTTTCGTACTGATATAATTAATCAACTTGAAATTATATAAGAAACTCTACCGAGTTGCAATCTATTATAATTTTTTGTGAATTTTTTTTGTTATGTTGTTATATGATAGATTTTATTAAAAATAATTTATAGAATTATGATATTTAAAACTATATTATCATTTATTAATTTCAAATGGAAATGAATTTTAAACATATCCTTTGTTTTATTGTAGCACCATTAGAACGAGTTGGCAAATTTTTTTCTAATTCAAATCAAAACCGAGAATAAAAAATTAGAAGTAAAACAAATGATTATTGTTTAACTCTTACTTAAATCTGTTCGATATAATGAATTATTGTCATTTTGTTTAAAATAGATACTTTTAACAAAACTTTAAATTTTTAACATTTTTTATTTAAAGATTATGAACGTAGATTTCCCTCTAGAGCAACTGATATATAATGGATAGTCAACAACGAACATTTTGTATGATAGAGAGAACTACTTTATCATTCAAACATATTTTAGCGAAATGAAAACAAAAGTATGTATGATTATAGGTTCTATTTATTTGATCAAAGCAATTTTAATTAAATATTTCTTCAGTAAATCAATAATTAGAAAAATAATCATGTTCTAGACAATAGTCTCAACTCATATTATTGATAAAGAATATCGTTAGAAAAGGTTTAAAGAAAATTTTATGAGTCTTAATTATAATAAAACTTATTATTTTTCGAATGAAAAAAAAAAACGATTAATAGAATTGTTAATGTAATACATTTTAAAATTGCTAACAATTATTGATAGTCTTTGAAATCAATCTGATAGATAGTAATATCTTTAAACAACAATTGTTAATTTGATATATTACATTTGTTCTATTAAAGAATATTTTATTCTTAGTGATTATCTCAAATTTTATCTTTTTGTTCGTTTTCAAATAGAGTCAATTATTTTCGATATTTATTCGACAGAACTAATACTACCTGCTTTTTAATCATTAGTTGAATAAGAACATGTCGATGTATTTATTGTAGCTTTTCCTAACATTATCAAATAGATATGTTACGTTTTTTTTTCTTTATTAAAATAAACTTCTACACTTTAAAATATTTTTATATATGAAACTTGAAAACTATTAATTTATGCTTAATTAATATAAATATAATTGTTCCATCGTCTTGTACAAAATTCAAATGAAGATGTTCCATCGTTATCAATAGAATAATATTTTATCATTAGTTGGTCTAATACGAAATAAAAATTTTAGAACGTAAACATTAGAAATAATTTTTTTTTATATTTTTAAAAACTTTTCTTTTATATTTCGCCTTATAGAGTTTGAGGAGTTATAAATAATACTCTTCACTTTATTTTTCTTAAATCGAATTATTTTTATTTATTAATCAATATTATGGAAAAAATATTAGTGTATTTTTATATATGAATATCATAGTCAAGAAAAAGAAAAATCACATACAACTATGAATATTTATAGAAAATATTTTAACATTTACTTAATTACTACATAGAAACTGTAGTTAGATAACAAGTTTTTTCGTTCAACACGTCTTCTTTATAACAAACGCTGAAATAATTGATTTTAAAAGTTTCGATTTAAAAATTTAGGAAAAATAAAATAATTCAAAATATAAAACTAATTTCTAGTAATAGAAATCAGCTTCTATTCTTTGGTTCAATGTCAAAAGGCGCTTAAAGCTCTCCTGTTTATCTACATGATAGTATAATATCATCCATGTATTTAAAGACAAAACTTTATTTCAAATTATTAATTTAATAATGAACTAGCTGCAAAAGATTCACTCTCGACTTGATATACTTTAGTAAGATGTATGCTTTTATTTTAGATAAATAATTTCGAGCAACTGATAATAGTTTTCGTCAATTATTATTATCGTTATGAAGAAAATCTACTTTGTCTTTCTTTGCATATTTATTTTTTGCAATGATTATTCTAAATAATAATTATCATTTTATTTACGTTTTTTACTATAAATAACATATATTATTAATATGGTTGAAGTTAAAGAATTAAGCATAGTGCTTATCTTTATTATTATTTTGTCTTAGAGATCATAAATCAGTTGGAAATCATTTGTTTAATATTAATATACTTATTTGAATAATTTATAAAAATAAAACAAATTATTGTTATTATCATTAAAATTCTTGGAACATTTCAACGAATAAATTTAGATGAAACTAGCCTTCTTTTTTTTTTTATAAATTCCAAAATTTCTTACATTACTCTACATCTACCTGTATTATATTTAGCTGAATTAATTGTTTGTTTTACTCTTGAAATTATGTAAACAGTTGATAATAAAAAAATAAATAAACAATTATTAGTAAAATATATTCCACTATTTTGAAAAATCTTATCAATAACAATATGAATAGATGTTATTAAATGAGATTGTAGTAGTCTTCATTTTGAGGATGATGATTTTCTACTTGAGATAATTAAAAGAATTATTTTCGAAAAGACATAAAACTAGATTTGATGCATAAGTCCCGATAAATGTAACTTATAAAAAAACAAATATTATCACGACTTCTGAGGGTGTGGGTGGGTGGGTGTGGGTGTGGAGTGTGGGTGTCGGTGTGGGGTGTGGGTGGGTGTGGGCGTGGATGGGTGTATTCACTTCCACTATATCCATACCCACACCCGCACCCACATCCACACCCACACCCACACCCCACACCCACACCCACACCCACACCCACCCACACCCTTAAAAGCAGACTTATCATTCTTTTGTAAATTATTTGAGCCGTATTAATGGCTTCTTAACAATATAACGTATAGTAAAGAAGAACAACATATGCGTGTCACCTCAAGAAAAAGATAAGTACATGAATGCATGAAATGCTGTTTTATTAAATTTAAAGATCATCAATACAGATAAGGATGTGGGTCTGTGCGTGATTGTGAACGTGATACACAGAATATCCACATCCACAGCCACTTCTCCTTAGGGGCAAAACTAAGTCCTATAGACATGCTTCTTACTGTAAAGTGGTATTTACTGATAATACAAGCATTATACCACAGATGCTCACGTACTGATTTTTCGTCGCCCATTGGGATAAACGAAAAAAGATTACTTTCTTTTTGAAAACAAATAATTAACATTATGAACAAATACACAGTCAAAAAACAAGGAGTAAAAGGCTATAAAAAGAAATCTCATACTAAAAACAAGAATGTTGTTTTTATCAAACATAATCATTTGACAGGTTTTGTTGACAAACGATAATAAACTGTACATCAATAAATTCTTGTTATTACTTCCTTAGTGCATTGCTGGAGGATTAAGCAAAGGTATGGCGAACAAATATGTTTCAAATAGATAGGATAAAATAATCTTCCTGCGATTATCCGTAGCACCTACATCATGTTTTAATTCTTCTGAATTGTTTATAGGATATTTTTTCTAGTTTGAGTTTAATTTGATTCTTTTAGATTCGAACGACCATTATAAACTTGAACAAGTTCGTTGGTCTCCAAAATTCGGTAGATTATTATTTTGTTGTTCAAAAGATTTTTTTTTTCATTTATTACATTTTTTTTTCTTTACAACAGAGGACGTCATTCAATTGTTCGTCAATGTATTCATATATCAACCAGTGATGTATGTGCTGCAAGATTAATATCAAAATAACTTATTTCACATGAACGTACTTTACATGAGTATGCTCTTGTTTCATCTACACATCATGATTCAATTATTCGAGTATTTCATTTTATTGAAACAAATTCATTTTCAATTATTATTGTTGCATTGTAAGATATATAAAATTGATTTTCTTGTATTCTATTTATTTAACTAGAAAATATTTTTATTAATATTGATTATAATCAAATAAAATATGTGATTTTGATGATTTAATATGTTTATCAAACATGAAATATGTTCGCCGTATGAGTGGAAATATTCCTATTCATTATACAACGAATGTCTGGTAAAATAAAATTAGAACAAGAACATTATTATATTGCATTAAATATTAATTTTGTTTTCAAAGGTCGATCGATGTTACTTTATGTATATTATTATCAGGTCTTTCACCATTTCTTGATGAACAAACATATGAAAATATCATAAATATTGATTTTGGTTTTCATGAAAGTCAATTTTCTTATGCATGTCAATCAGTAAAAAAACTAATTCAAACAATTTTTGTTCGCGAACCAAAGTAGGATTTATATCGAGTAGAAATTTGCAAGCTCTCCCTCCACACAGACATCTTAGCAATACTACGGCTGTCAGCTAGAATCTGGTCGGTTCAATCGTACTTTGATATTCTTAACGAAATCTTCTAATCGGAATTTGATAGCCATTTGTTAAATGAAATATTCAATCACAGATCGTATATCAATAAGATATTGTTATAATATATGAACTGCTTTGTAAAAATAAATATTGTTTTTGTGTTCAAGTAATCCTCGATCAACAAAAGAACGTTTAATGAATGAGGAAAAGTTTTAAGTGAAAACTTTTAGTTAATTGATGAACTAATATGTGTATGTTGTGTGCAATTATTCTTCTCTATTATTATTACTATTATTATTGTTGTTGTT